CCTATTAGTATATTCCACCTAACGGATAAATGTTGCCTTGCACTTGCAAGAACAGGGTAGGCAGCGATAGGATAGAGTTCCCTCTATTTCCTTTTCATCCCAACGCAGTTTATCCATGGCATGCTGATCCTGCAGCCCAGTGCACTCATGGACATCTCAACTGCTCAAACTGAGAAGGTTGCAAAAGCATTGCTGGCTCTGAGGCGGCTCTTGGTGGGAGTTCAGGATAATCCACCCGCTCCCAGTCCCTAACTGGTTACTCTACACGCTGCTAACTCTGCTAGTCCAGCCGGACCAACTCCCTTTCAGAAACAGCGCCGGAGAAACGAAGCACAAGGAATGAGCTGGGATTGTGGACGGGGCTTAGCAAAAGGAAGGGGTTTGGGAAGAGGCCAGCCCGAGGTGCAGCACTGCGGGGCATCCTTTGTGTGGCCACGGAAGGGGAAGGAACGCTGCTCCCAAGGGCCCGTGGGCATGCTGAGAGGCTGTGTTAGCCACCCCTGTGCCGGCTGTCACGGGATGGCAGAACGCTGGATGTGGTGGCAGAAAGGCCTGCTGAGAAAACACCTCCATGCCCAGATGTCTGGGAGCATCAAGTCCCGCTGGCATCACTTCCAGTGGCCTCTCTGGAATAAACAGTAAGTTGTCTGGATGAAACCTGAGATTTCTGTGGTCATCAGAAAGGAGAAAAGTCTCACAAGGAACAGGAACAGACTCTAGAGCTCTCTCCTGATATGAAGCACGGTACAAAACAACGAGAAAACTGTCATGTCAAGTCGCTTGAATACGTGGACTGTCGATGGCTTCTTTCTGCTAAACAGGATCCTAGATATCTGTGTGTATTGTGCTAGCTGCTCTTTGTTGCACCAGTGCATACTAGCATGGAGCTGTGCCTGCTAGATCTTTGCTAGGACAGTGAAAGCACACTTATTTTTTTCTCTTAAACTGGAATTTGCTGTAGACTTTTAAAGCTAAAAGTTAAAATTTTTAATCTAAACGGTCTCTTCCTTTCCCTCTGGGACTCCATTGCATGCTTCCAAATGAAATAAACTGAATGAACGGGTTGGTGTTACATGAAGACTGATTTATTGAGGCGATTTCAGAATAAAATGATACAAAGGAAACTGCATCAGTAACATAATGACTCATGTGGAATGTGGCGATTTGATTTATCAAATGTGCGTTTGTCTGAATCTCTTTTTTGTGCCCGATTCCTCATTTGATTCCAGTTCAGTGATTCACATCAGTTCAAAGCAACTCCGAAATCTCTGCAATCTGCTGGGATCACACATTCATTTTTCACCAGGGTACGCAGCAGCAGCATCCCTGGGGAATTTGTGCCCCATGTCTGCAGCGCACGGGAATTACTGTGTCAAATTCGGCTCTTTAGGTCAAGAAAGGATTCTTATCTCGGCGCAGTCTGGTTCATCTCCTTTTTGTGTCAGCCAAAAGACAGTCATGACATGCACAAAGCTCCAGAGCAATGGAGAATTAGATTCAGTACAATTTCCTGTCTGTTTTAATGCAACAGGGTTTTAAAGTAAAAAACCCCAAAGCCTAGTCATCCCTGGAAGTAGAGAAAAGCTATTTTTTCACTGACCTTTTTCTACCATTTGAGTTTAATTTGCTTTTTTCCTGAGGTGATTGCAGGCTTTTCGGGACAACTAAACTCTGTGTAAGTATAAAAGATCCCACTATGAGTTTATTTACAGCTTAAATGGCTGTTGTTTTTACATATATATAATGCTGAATAATAGATCTGTATTCTTTTGGTATTTCATGCAAAATGTCAGATGCACTAGAGCCAGAGATGAACACCAAAAGAATAAGAAAGGAAAAATACAGACTTGGCCACATGAGGATGATGCAAAATCTGAGAGAAATTGTGTTGTCACACCAGAAGTGTGAATACTTTCAGGACTTGTGAAAAGTTACATAAATAAACTAAAAGCTCTCTTTCATATTTTCTGGTGTAATCAGATTTTCCTCTGCAGGTCGCTCTCTCTTGCCATAATCATAACGATGCTGTAAGAGATTAACACTTGAAAAGCAGACAGTGTAAGGCATGAGCTCAGCACAATCTTGCTTCTCTTCAGATTCCAGGAATATTGATCTTGTACTGAGCTTTCTTAAACTGAAACACTTCTTGTGACCACCAAGGAAAAATCCCCAGGGCTGTCCAATCAGCAGTTGTTTGGTTTTTGGGTTTTTTCCCCCTCAAGATAAGTAATTACAAAATTAGTTTCTGTTATTCATCTTATTTAAAGAGTGGAGACTCTTTTTGCAGAGTACTGTGTTCTTGGCCTTGTGGAGCATGGGAGGTTCTTCCTGAGCCTGGTGCTATGCCTCTGGAATCACTGCAGGACTCTCATATATAAAAAACAGAATAAAATACCTTTTCCAGGAAGAGAACCTCGCTTAGTTATGTATTTTGTATGTTCTTTGCTCAGTGTATTGCACAGAGAAAATACCATTCTGCCAAGGTGCACCAAGTGTGAGCAGAAACCAGAGCAGAGTCTTAACCCCACGTGGGCGGGAAACACATGGAATAATCTGTCCTGAAAGGCACATCTGCCGTTTGAAATGCTTGACGCACACCAGGTGAGGGAGAGAGGGTGAGTTTTTATTGACCAAGTCCTGTTTTGCAATCTGCCCTCACTGTCAGTCAGTATCTATCAGCATCAGTAAAGTCCAGTCTCATTTCTGCCATGAGTACGAAATCCTCGCGTATAACAAAATAATCTGACTTAATCTTCTGGAATTAAAAAATTAACTTAGAATGTGTTGGTTTTTTTTTAATTGTGTTAAAAGCACAAACTGCTGATCTATATGTAAATAAATGCTACAAGATGAATGTAAACTGGGAAAGAATATACTATTTTTGCATGGTAATAGGCTACTTAAAGACCTCTTGATGCCTTACAGAGAATTTGGAAAAGCATTTTATTTAGAGGCAATTCTATCGGCGTATTTTTTGTATTTTAGCTCACTTTGGTTTTCTCTGGGGGAAAAAAAAATCAGAATTAGATCTTTGTTTCTTCTTGGAATTAACTTTCTTCAGTATTTTGCACATGTGGTGGTTTCTACATCACCTTTGCTCCTGTGAAATGGGGAAGCTTTTCAGAGAAGAGACCTGCATGCTCGTAGTCCAGGAAGGAAAAAGCTTTAGATCCCTGGAATTGTTCCAAAATAAAATGTTTTCTGAGGCATCTGGAGCCCCTTTAAGCCCTTCATTTCAGCTTTTTGTTATGTATTTTAGCAAAGTAAAAGCAGTGAACAAATGAGGTATTTTGGTGAGTGTTGCTTATTCTATTTTCAAATGAAAGTGAAGGGGGTTAAAATATAACGTATACATTTGTGTAAAAAAAACAACTTAACTGTAATTAAAGATTTTTCAGCTTTGGTATATTAGCATGTATATCAAAGAGTCATCTATGGAAACTTTTGTAAAGAACTAACTTCTCACCTTTCTCAAAAGTGCTCATGAGATTTTCTTGTGGACTGACATACAATAAAAGCTCTTTTTTAAAACCTGTTGTTCCTCCAGCTACACTCTGTCCTCACCATCGTTATGAAGTTGTTCAGAACGCGTGCCTAGACTAAACGTGTTGTAAAAACAATAAATTATGTAAAATAAAATAACGACCAAAGGAATATTGGAACATGAGATTGATTTTAGCAATCTCCAACAAAAAAAAAAAAAAATTGTTGCAAAGCTCTCTGAGAAGTCTTTCTGTAATGGTTTCCTTTTTTTTTTTTTTTTTTTTTTCATAATTTTAAATCAGTAATAACATAACCAAATGTATATGCTTGTTTAATATGAATTGACAATTGGGAATGCATAGTATTTTTTCAGACTATGTGTCTAAACCAATAAAGTTTCAAAACATTTGGGCTCTACTGCGGTTCTTGCGTGACTTGCATCTCCTTTCACCTGGAAACCCAGGGATGCCTGGAAGTGTCCGGGGCCAGGCTGGACAGCCCTTGGAGGGTGCGGGATAGTGGAAGGGGGTGGGAATGGATGGGCTTTAGAAAGGTCCCCTCCATCCCATCCCGGACTGCGGTTCTGTGACCTTGCTTCGTTACATGAAGAATCTGAGCTATCACATCCCTCACGGCTGGAACGGCGATCAGTAAAGGGGGTACCACACACGATTTATTTACTCCGCTTTCACGCACGGTTTTCTTTACTCAGAGGGTGGGCAGGCCCTGGCACGGGATGCCCAGAGCAGCTGTGGGTGCCGCACCCCCGGCCCGGCCCGGCCCGGCCCGGCTCGGATCGGGAGGGGTCCCTGCCGGGGCCGGGCCCTCAGGGCAGGCCGGGGGGGCCGCCCCGCGCATGCGGCCGGGGGCGGGGGCGGGGGCGGTGCGGGCTGAGGGGCCGCGGGGCTGAGGGTTCGTTCGGGTGCCAGCCCGGTGTGCCCGCCCGGGGCCAGGCCCGGTGAGCCCGCCCCGGTGTGCCCGGGGCCAGCGCCGCCTCTCCCGGCCGCTCATGGAGCGGGACCGCGCCCCCCGCGCCCCCCGCGCCGCGAAGGCTCCGCGCAAGAAGCGCCGGGAGTCGCCGCTGCCGGGGCCGGCCGTGGTGCCGGGCAGGCGGGCCGGGCCGCCACAGCCCTGCCGCCGCAGCCTGTTCGGCAGCGCGGGGCCCGAGCTCCGCGGTGAGCGCTGCCCGGGGCCGGGGCCTGGGGGGGATCCTGCGCTGCCGGGGCTCGGGGGGCCGCTCGGGGGTTTTATCACCGCAGGGGCCTCGCACTGCGCCCAGCGGGGCTGCCGGAGGGTGGGAGGTGGTTTGTGGTCGTCCGTGTCCCTCACGGCTTGGGGAAGGCAGGCAGCTGTTCTGGCAGCAGGAGTGTTTCCTCCGGGCTGGCTGTTAAGTTAGTCATAAAAAGAGATTTTCCCCGTTGTAACGTGGCTTCCTGCCGTCCGATCGGAGAACATCTCGAGCTGGAAGGGGCCCTGTAGAAGAGCCAGACAAAAGCCTTGCTCCTCTTTGTGTCCAAAAGGTGTTATGGGCATGGAAAGGAGAAATAGCTAAAGCTGCCCGATGAGAAATAGTAATCTAAATTCTAATACTGAAATTATCATTACTGAAGGAAATACTTATTTTTCTCTAGGCCTGAAGAAAAAGGTCAGTGGGAAAGCCCTACCAAAAATTAAAGAAAATGCTGAACTCACTGAAGAGAGCCCTTCATGCAACCAAAGGTCTGTTGGAACTCATTCAGACACACCATTATTAACATTAGCTAATCGTTTTTATTGCTTTGCCTTGTGAGGTGGCTCTTGGAGCTATGCAGTCTGAGTTATCAGTACACTGATGTTTGCCAGACTATTTATTGGCATCCCATAAAGATATTTTGTAGTCCTTGCCTTCTCTAAGGCAGTGTAGCTCTGTGGTTGAACTTAGTTCTGTTTATCAACTGCAGCAATCAAGTGAATGTCAGAGAAACAAGAGTTTTGGAAAAAGAAGAAGAGGAATCAGAAGAAAGCAATGTATCGCTGAAGGTGAGAATGGTGTCTTGCTTTTTACCTGCTAGTAGTTGTCTGGAGGATAAATCAAAGAAATGTGACATGCTAAATTGTTTTTATAATCAGGAAAAATTTCCTGTGAGTTGTGTGTGTGTGCACACTTGGTTTTCAGGCTGCACTTGGAATCTACTGCCTACATGTCATGGTTTGTATTTAGAGAAATGGTTTAAGGTTCTGAGAGTAAGAATTGGGCCTCTAAAAAAAAAAACTTCAAAAGGCAGTGAAGTTCATTACTCCACTGCTGTTGTGCATGACCTCACTGGCATCTCATCGAGGAAAGATTGATTGTAGGACCAAATGATGAATTTTAGAACCAGAAGTCAGATTGCAGGTTTGTTAATGATGCAAGAAAAAACGTGGCACAAATTACTGTGAATAAATAGCAAGTTTAAGTGGTGAAGTACCAGACAATGAGTTTCTAAGCATCTGCTAGTGTAGATGACATTTAATTACATTTCTTTGTCTCCATCCAGTTTTCTCAAGTTGCTTGTATTGGTCGTTTAATTTTAGAAATCCTCAACAATCAACATCAAAAGTAAAGAAAATTTGCAAAATGCTGAAATGACTTCAAGTGAGTATATTGGCAATACATGATGTTATTAAATATACTTGTATCTCGGTATTTTATAGCTATATAAGAACTAGTTGTGGACATGAGTTCTTCAGTTTATTCCAACCTGCATTAAAAGCTTGTGATGAAAGAGTTTGTCCTGAAAACAAACCTATTGAAGAATTACCCTATCAGAGGCTGAGCTCTTCAGGTGTGTCTCGTGAGCCTTGGGCAAGGAAAGTGTCCTCTCTTAGCTTGTGGTGGTGTAGATTTGGCTTCAGGATGCCCTTTGCTTATTTAATTGCATTATGACTCAGTATAAAGTACTGACTTTACAATATTTAGCTCATCACAAGAATGAAACTTAAATAAGGAAATCCTGATGGTTTCTACAAGATGATACTTTTCTCTAGCCACCTTTTTTGTCTCTTTCTTTAGGTTCAGACATGACTCTTCCCACAGGTGTTTCAACCTTTCTCATTGAGTGTTTAGATGTCGATTCAACTGCAGATTCTAACAATACTAGTGGCAGCCTGCAGAGTTACTCATCCCCTGAAACATTCAGAGATGATGATTCAGGTGCGACTTTTGGGGTTTTTTGAGCTTTATTTGATGTAGAAAATGTGGGGAGACTGTTGACAATAGAAAGACTGGTGGCCTCTCGGGGTGTGACCCACCAGGTCACAGCTTTGCTTTAAGCCAGCCTGTCCTTAACGGGCAGTCTGTGTATCTGGTCCTCCAATCCAGATGAATCAGGTCCAGGTGGGATTTGCATCACACTTTAAACCTGAAGTATTCACAGTTGACACAAGCTGTTTATTGGGGATGTCCCACCAAAGTGCTTTGAGTCAAATTCCTTCCAAACTTTTCTGCAGCTGTTTGAGCCAAGACAATGCTTTCATTTAGTTCCTGTCCTGCAAATGTGATTGCTTCAGTTTGTCACAGATTTAGTCACTGGATGAGTTTCAGCATAAGAAGTCTGCACTTATATCTTTTATATGCAGAAAGAAGTAATTTTTATTCTGTGGACCTTGGCAAGTACAAGAACTCTACTCTACTGGACTCCAGCAAAGCAGTGACCATTGATAAGATAGCACAGCTCTCAAATCTTTCAGCAATATTAGGTAATTCTTTTCTACAATTGTTCAGGATACATACATAAATTTCCTTCTGGTGCAAGAAACTGATATATAATGATCATTTTATGTAAGGCCTGTCTGCATAATGGGGAGCAGCTCCCTGCTATTAGTCTGTGTTTGCTGTTTGTGCTTTAGAAATTACTTTGCACTAAAACATTGTCAGGTCTAAGCTGTCTTAGCTTTTTGTCTAAAGTTTAGCTTTTATGTTTGTTTTTTTTTTTTTTTTTCTTTTTTTTAGAACCTGTACCAAAGGATTTTCAAGACTGGGGCATTAGAAGGTAATCTGCACAGCAGACTCTTTGATGCACTTAAATGTTCAGGCTTTTCTCTTTTGACTGATGCTTTAAAGAAGGGCCAATATGAATAAGCCTCTGCTCCTGCAGACCCCTCTGTGGAGTTTCAGCTACCTGTGTCCTCATTGACTGTGAAATTGGTGCATTAAGTCAGGGAAGAGTTTGCCTTACAGACTTCTGGCTTGGCCTTGCAGCTCTAGGGGAGCTGATATAGGAACTCAGTGAAGGCTTTTATGGAGGAGGAAGGTGACATTTATTTACAAAACCCCCAAATAAGTTGCTTTTATCCAGTTGCACTAATTCTGTCAGATTCAGTCAGTCACAGGCAGCAAAAGGTGTGTGCTCAGGTGTCTGGCCGGGCTTGCTGTGCAGCACAGAGTATGAGGGGTACCTGTTGTCAAGTCCTTCTTAAGTCTCTGGCATTCTGTGCTTGCCCAGGAAAAAATCAGGTTTGGGGGCAGATCTCTTATGTTCTTAAGGAATTGCAGGTATCCTCAGGATAAGCTGTGAGTTGGTGATAAACTATCAGATAACTGTAAGATGTGATGAACCAACTCCGTAACAATATTTTTTCAAATAAGCTTTATCCCTTTTCACTCAGCCTGTATTTTCCTAGGATTTCTTTATTTGTAGGGTTTTTAAAATGTTAACATTCATTCAGAATAGTTGTTCACTTTTTTTTTCCTCTCCTAGAAAGAGACCACCAAATTGCAATTACAGTTCTTCAGCATTAGGCATTTCAGCCACTCTGTCAGGTAAAATATGACCAGAAGCAGTTGTACTAGCTGTGAGAACAGAATATGCTACCCAAACTTAAATGATGGCACAGTTTCTAAACCAGGCTTCTCCTGGATCATTTGTCCTCCAGCCCAGACTAAGCTCAGTTGGGTCTAGAAGGAAAAGTGTATATTGAGAAAATCTTCCCTATAAATAAAACTTGGTTCTAGTTTACATGTTAGGAGAAAAAAACAACCAACCAAAGTCTCAAACCCTGCCTTCTTCCATTTAATCACCCATGATGCTCAATGAAAATTGACATTTCTTATTCAACTTAGCCCAGAACAGAACTGTTTGTGTCATACTCTTTACTTGAACTCATGCCATGCCAGCTTCAAGTCCTAGTGAGTCCCTGATGGAACTCAGTTCTGACCTGTGCCTGATGCAGTTCTGTGGCCTAAGGTACCTGCTTAATCTGAACAGTAACAGCAGCAGAAGCTGCCACTGGCCCAGAGTGCTGTGGTTATGCAGGTGTCTGCCCCCACAGTGTGTGTGCCCAGCAGTGAACAGCCAGGGGAACATAAGATGAATAAGCAGCCTTGTTTCCTTAAGGAATGGGAGAGCAGTAGAGCAGTCCTGATGGTGGGCAGAGGGTGAGGAGGACTGTACTGAAGGGAAGGAACTGTGTTTATATGGGTGGCTTTGGAATTGTTCCTCTGTGAAAACCATCCTGTAAGACGTGGGGTGGAGAGTAGCTGTGGCCTTTGTCTCAAAGTTAATTAATTTGTTGGAAATTTGTCACAGGAAAAAAGCTCTATAAAATTACAGCTGCAAGAGAGAGAACTCCCGACCTAGAAAGTGGTATGCGCTGTGCTTCACCCATAGGACCGGACAGCAAGGTGAAAGATCCTTAATAAATCAGCAAGCTTGTGACACAAATGACTTGCTCCTGCCTTCAGTGGGTGGAAAACTCCACCTGGAGGAGGAGTAGTTGGTGCTGCACTTGTGGCAGGGGTGCCTGCAGCGAGGGCACAGAGGGAGGACGAAGCTTGCCTCTCCCTCTCGGTAGTGTAACAGTCATGGGTGCCCCAAGCTCAGTGTTCCTCAGACTGGCTTTGCCAGTGCTACTGAGTCAGTGTGTAGAGCTTGACTGTGACAGAGGGACTCTCTTTTTAATGCTTGCCAGGCCACAGAGATTCCCTTTGTAATACCAAATGTGATTGTTTCCCTCTTTAGCCTGACAGGCAAACTGCTAAACCCAAAAGGCTGAAGCGTAAGAGAACAGAAGATGGTTCTAATCCGGTAGGAGAAGGTTCATCATCACTCAGGCAGCTTGATGCCCCAGGAAACACTTCAGCCAAATCAGGGGGGTTTACTGCACAAGTTGTGCCAACCAAACCAGCAGATGCTGTGGGGGTGAGTATTCCCACTGTGTCCTGCTGATTAGCAGTGGCATGGAATGAGAAGCGAGAGTTTTGAATTCTGGCAAAAGTTACAATTAAATAGGAGAAGTGGCAGGAAGTGCCACACCTGAAATGTCTGTGCTGCTGTAAACTAATTCTGTGTCTTAATTTTGGAAAGCATGAGACCAAAAAAAAAAAAAAGTGAATGACAGGAATTCAGTTCTTAAATCTGAAGAAGTACTAGTAATTCTAAATGGAGTTCTTATACTATTGTGCACTAAGGGGGCATTGTAGGAGTAATAATAAACAGCATAGAATTTGAATCTGATGCTGAGTTCTTCTCTGCTTTTGTTTAGCAAATGACTTCCACCATGCTGGTCGTTGAGGAAAATAAAGCCCTAAAAAATCCTGGTAATGCTCAGCTTGCACAGCTAAAGGTGAGTGTCTATCCAGTGCTTTTTTTTAATGATCCAAACCAAAGAAATCATTCCTTATGGCACAGCCCCATTGTGGCTATACGTGTTCCTGTGCAAATTGCACAACAAACTATGATAAATTCTATTAGCTGGACAATTAGAAAACCCCCAAGCAAACCAACCTAGGAATCTGGTTTGTATTTTTACAGCGTCTTCTGATGTAAACTCAGAAGTACTAGCCTTACTTGCACAACCCCTTCAATACAAATTTGGGAAAGCCTGTTCCTGAATACCACAGGTCCATATGTAAATTCAGAAGAAATTGTTCCTGCATCTCTGAGCTCAGAAAAAGAAATTATTCCTCAAAGTCCAGAAGAAAAGAATATTTTTAAGGTTCTAATTTTATTGCACTTTTTAAATCCAGCTTTAGCATTCTAGTATGTACTGTATATTTAAACCTTACAGTGTTAAAAGAGCTGAAAGAATGTTTAAGCTTTGAAGCTTTCTCTCAGCCTTTAAAATAGCATATTAAGTGTACACAAGTAGCTTTAAATGTTTTCTAGTGGCATCCCTTGAAATCTGCATGTCATCTCTGATTTCCCTAGAAGAAAGCTAAAAGACTATTTCTTCAGTGTGAATAGTTGTGTGAAGGACATGTCATTGATTTTTCAGCCTCTGTGTGACACGGAAGAAATCTGCTCCATTGTTAGACTGTCACCACACCAGAGGCCTTCCAGGCTCCTGCGAGTTCCAGTTAAGAGGGAAGAGTTCTCCCTTCCCAAAGGAGTGCCTGAAGGTAAGGGAATGAAGATTTGGTTCGCTGTGCAGATGGTAACTGGTTAGTGAATTGGTTAAGGGTGGTGGTTTTCTTTTTAAACTCTGAATATTTTGAAAAGTCACAAGGCTAAAAAGAGGAGAAGATGCAGAAAACTTCAGCTTTCTGACTTAACAGTGTTCTTGTGCAACAGTACTTCACTAACACTGCACTAACACTTTCTCCTCCAAGGATCTTTAGGACAGGAATTGATACAGTCATAGGCTGTGTCCTAATCAAGGCCAGAAGGTGCTCTAGGTGACTCTGGGAATATCTGTGCCTCTTCAATTTACTCTTGAAGTAACTTGTTGCCCAGAGAAGCTGTGGCTGCCCCAGCCCTGGCAGTGTCCCAGGCCAGGTTGGACGGGGCTTGGAGCAACCTGGGCTGGTGGAAGGTGTCCCTGCACATGGCAGGGGTGGAATGAGATGCTCTTTAAGGTCCCTTCCAAGCCAAGCCATTCAATGGTTCTGTGATTCTAAACACAACTTCAGGTTTCCCTGCAGGTGTGGAGATTCCCTAGAAGAGTTACCTTCTTCTTTAATAAATTATTATCCTGTCTTTATTTCTAGGGTAAGTCTGACTTGAGCTTTCAGCCATTGGTGTGGTTTATATCATGCTCAATATTCGCCCCCATCCTCAAAGTAGTTCAAGTTATCAGTTATGTTTTTCTTTAAAAATCACCAGTTTCCCTTAAGGTTTCTGTCCTTTTCTCCTGAAACCCTTAACACGGGGGAAGCTCCTTTCTTCACTTCCTAGATTTTTGTTAAACAAAAACGAGAACTGTGAACAAAACTGTCTCATCACTGCCACAGAGGTAAAACCCCCTGCCTTTCCCATCCTGGTGAAGTTTCTCGGTGTGCCACTGGATGGCACATGTCTTCCGAAGTTTGAAGTAGTTCTTCACAATGTCTGCAAGTTTCCTGCAAGTTGTGTGCCATTTAGTTCAATACAGAGGCACTGCCTCAGTGTGACAGCTTTCAAAAATACACAGATTTTCATTTTCACTCTCTTAGCTCTAAATACTCTCCAGCTTTATTACCAGTGGAGTTACATGCAGCATCTAGAATGCAGGGAAGTGCTTTTGAGTGTGTGTATGTATTAATTAATGAACTGAATTAATGAACTTCTGCACAGGTCAAAGAACTAGGATGTTAGGTCATGTGTCCCAGGAAAATTGTGGTAATAGAGAGCACAGGTTGTACTTGGTAGTCACAAATAGGCAAGGGGTGGTGTCAGAACAAAAGTTTGGGTTTGTTCCTGTTTTTCTGGAGGATTCTGGGATCAGGAATTAGGCTGCCTGTGGTGGGGGTTTTATGCTGAATGTTTTATTCTCTGCACAAAGAGTTTTTGAGATGATGCTGGTTTTCATTAGGAATGTACATGTACTCAAAATTATTGTTCTCTCCTCACTGGCAAACGACCTGCAAGATCCAGACTCCTCCAAGCAAATGGTAGCATGGATATCTAGTGACCATCTCAACAGCTGGTCAGATCAATGAGCTTTCTCTGACACTTGAGAATGTGCCACTTTACTGATAGTTATTTATCCCTTTTTTTTTTTCCCCTCCAGATTCTATTACAAGTACCAAAAATTGGATCTGCTGTAAACAGAGATGAGGTTTCTGGATCTCAGCAGGAGTCAACAGAAGAAATGACCATCTTGTTGCCGTGAAACAGAACTAACAAGTGGCTGTTGTTTTTCTTTTTTGCACATACGTTGTTTGAAATTTGGTATTATGTGTTCAGTAAGCTTGTAAGTACTTTTCTCAAGTACTTAACATTAAATTATTTTGTACAGCAACTGGATCCTATTGTGGGCATCATTCTGCAAGGACTCCACAGAGATGATTCTTCAGTTTGTTTAGATTTTTGGAAAGCACGACTCAAGAACAGCAGACCAAAATGCATCAATGGAGTTATATTTGGCTCTTGCTCTGCCAAGATTTCTAGTTTTCTCTAGCAGCATTAGCATGTAAAGACGTGACCTCTGCTGGAGTGTTGGCACTGGTTATGGGGTGGGTATGAAAGCCCTGCTGTGCTCTCAGGGCCCCCCAGGTCAGTGGTGTGCTGCCACTGAACCCCCTGAGTGCTTAGGTCTGCAGAACTCTGGAGGTGCAGGACTGTGTGCTCTGCTGTGAACCGATCTCTAACCGTGGATATAGGTCATCATCACCGTGCCATCGCTGGCAGCTGGCTCTGGTGGTCAGCACTGTCACCCTCCTGGGCACATCCCCGGCCCAGCCACCTGGGAGTGCTGCCCCTTGCCCCTCAGTGCTCTGTGATGTCACAGCTCTCAGCCCTTACATGAGTACAGTGGTGGGGAAACCCTTTTACTGTGAACTGTGTGAAGAGCTGGGTGTTGGCATTCTGGATTTCCAGGTTACTGTTCACACCATGTCCACATAATTTCCAGTTCAGCTTGTGGATGGTTAATTCACAAATGTCATTCTCAGTGAGCTGAGTGCCTCAGAAAACACTCTCAAGAGCACAGTTTTTTCCAGTTGAATTCACTGCAGGTTAAAGTACTTTGGATCCCTACAGTGTTCTCACTACAACACCCTGGGTCTTTTCTGGACAAAAAGGGAAGTTTTTGATGTTTCAAAATGCCAATATAGCTTTCAAAAGTCTGTTTCTCGTGTGTTATACAATCTGGAAATTGTATTTCCAAAAAGCATATGCTGAGAAGACAAAAAATCCACCACTTCAGTTTGACTACATTTGAAAATACCTGTGAAAGTTCAAACCCTGAGCCTTTCCCCTTTGCTCTGGGGTAGAAGGAAGTGCAAATAAATGCTGCTGGATTAGTCTATGAAGAAGCATTGTAGAAACATAAGTATATGGCTCAAGGTTAAAAATTATGCTATTAAGCTATTTTTTTTTTTTAAGCATTAGTAGAATGAGTTCTACCAATAATTCACTGGAGTCCTCTCAGCTATCACATATCTTCTAATTATCAATATCCTTGTTCTTGCAAACAGTCACTAGTAATTGTGCAAGAATCTAGAGCCCCTAGGACATAGATGTGAACGTCTTGATGTGGTTTTCAGCAAAATTGAAAGTTACTTATCTAGTAAGTTGTGATGATGATGATTGTTCAGGTAAAGGATGGTCCTGAATAAAGATGTGTTTCTGCTAAGGGTATTCTAGAAGTCCTAGGAAAAAACACTTCTTTTTCCCCAGACCAGCTGGTAGTTTTGTACAAGAGACAGACTAAGACTGGCAAATTGGAAAGTACAAGAGAAAGAAATATGGTCTGTAACTGTGGAGGTGGCTGTAGCAGCCTGAATATTGCTGTGTTTTGCTTCTGTTTTTCTTGATGTGATGAGGCTGTACAGGAGGGCAGAAATATCAGGAACCACAATCTCTTGTCCTTCCCTTCAGTTATGAAAGCGCTGCTTCTTATTTTCATCTTTTGTCTGACTCTGAGAGAAAGTGTAATTAATTACCAGGCCAGCTCTCTGCCCCAGGGAAGGAAATTCATTTGGAGGCCGGAACAATCTCTACTCTTGTTCTGCTTTTCTCAAAGGAAAGGCATTTTCCCATAGTTTGGTTTTCAGCTGAAGGAGGACTACATAAAATTTAATTCAGAGTGAAACTGGCTCTTCCATATTGGTAGATAAAGGTTATGGGTCATGGCCAGTTAATGGCTAGGACAGAGGAGGTTATTTGTGCAGTGATTCAGGACAGGAATCTGTTCAGTGTCACCAGGGCTGCTCTGTCACGTCCCAGACATGATGAAGCCTTAATGGCTTGAATGGAATCGCTCCCAGCGAGTCAGTCCATGCAGGAGCTCTGATAACCCTTTATCACTGGGGATTGTGCATGGCAGATGCATGTCGAGTAAATGTATTGTACATAAATCTGTAAGAGGTTTTTCATTAACACTGTTCAGTTATTTTTGTTATCTGAAGTGCACTTCTACGAGACTTTGACTTAAAGTGTTCAGAGATGATGGAAGATGTTTGCTTCTTGCACTGGAGTGCTACGGGGGTACACGTACAGGCTGGTGGAGGGTAAAGACCGTGATGCAAATAGCTCTGCTTCGGTTCATAATCCTCAGGCACAGAAAGGAGAGGTTTGGGGCCCAAATCAGCACGTGCTGAATGGACAGCGAAGGTCATGTTCCTTGTGTAGGGTATGAAAGCTTGCCTGCAGAGAGGTTTTTATGGGAAAGTGGATGATTAAATTTGTGCCCATCTTTTTTCTCTCACTGTCCTTCCTCCCCTCCCTCGATTAAGGTCTGACAGTGAAGCCTATCAGAATCAACTGTTGTTAATTTAGGTGTTTTGGAACAGGTTAATATTTACTCCTAAAGGGACTCTATCAGCTGGAATTGATGGCTACATTGATAGCTAAATCTTCATTGCTCTAAGTGGTGAAATTAAGCTGAATTACACATCCTGGCCAAAATTTTATTAGTTTGTAGTGTTCCCTGAGGACTTCTTGTATTCTGGCCTGTATTTACATGCCCACCTTGAAACCAGGAGGTTTTTACCTGGTGAAAGGATGTAAAGGTTGATCACGTACAGATCTATGTCAGACAGGTGTGTCTTCCATACAGATCAAGGGAAAAGGGATGCATCTAAACATTGATTCCTGCTTTCTGTTAGAATTATCTTCAACTTCTGGTAGATGAAAACCAAAATTCCTACAGATGGGTGATTGTGAAGAATTGTGTAGATATGTTACACATGCACTAAATTGTGCCTTGAAAAGAATCTGCTTAATTTAATCTTACATCATAGGTTGTTTTAGTTTAATTCCATTTTGTAGGGAAAGCAGATGAGTCAGTCAGTTTTGTCAGTCCTTAATTAAACTCCCTAGCAGTGTTGTATCTGAACAGTGATACACTGAAGGAGACTGTTAACTGTTAGCAGGATTTCTATTTCACTTCAACATTTATTAATAAAGAGTTTTGCAGAAATCCTCAGGTCCTTTTGATTTTATAAAATCTATCACAGATCTATGTGTGATAGATCTATATATTTTTTTTTTCTCCTCCTTATAATTTGTTTTGGATTGACTTGTTGGGCTTTGTGTCCTAAACGCCGTTTTGTGGCTGGATATTTTACCTGCGATGATGGCTTCCCCTGCCACCCGATCCACGCGTTCCACCTCCCCTGCAGGGTGAGAAGGGAGCGCGTCTGAGCTGTGATTTGTCACGGCCGTGGGAGAACGGCCGGGTCCCGGGAGGGGAGGGGAGGGGAGGGGAAGGGAGGGTGTTCCAGGCCTGGGGAAGGGCCATGGGCTCTCTCGGTGCCCCCCAGCAGGCTGAGCTGCCTCGCTCGGGACCTCCCCCGCCTGCCCGGGGCTCCCGTCCCGAACTTGCGTGCGGAGAAGGAGAGCCCAGCAGGGGCGTTGTGGCCGCCGGGGGATCCCTCGGCCCTGCCCGCCTTCCGCGCTCCCCCCGCGGCCGCGGGATCCCTGCAGGGACCCCCGGAGAGCCCCCCGGAGGGACCGCCGGCCCGGCCCCAGCCCAGCCCCAGCCCAGCCCCGGCTCCCTCCGCACGTGGGGCCGCCCCGCCGGGCCCGCCCGGCCCCCGCCGCCTCCGGCCCGCCCCTCGCTGCCCCCGCCCCTGCTGGCAGCGGCGGGTGACTAATTTCTGTCATATGACTGTGACACCGAATGGAGCGGGGCGGGCGGATCTAGAGCCGCGGCGAGGGGACGGCGCTGCGCGGAGCCCGGCGCTCGGCGGCGGGGGCAGCGGCGGCGCCCCAAGATGCCGCCCACCCTCTTCCAGAAGCTCTTCAACAAGAAGCACGGGCTCATCTCCCCGGCCAGGGACGCCCGCGACGACTGCGTGTTCAGGTGAGCGGGATGGGGCCGCGCTCCTGCCCTGCCCTGCCCCGAACTTGTGCGCCGAGTTCCCCGCTCGCTGCTCCGTCGGGGGGGCTCGGGGCCGGCCCGCCCTGCCCTGCCCTGCCCGGGGCCGCTCGGACGTGGTGCCCCCGCTCCCCCGGCCCCTCCGGACCCCCCGGGACCGCCACGTCGGGGCCGCCTCCCCTCGCTGCCTCCGACCCTGCCCTGCCGGGGCCGCTCCCAGCGCCGGCCGGGCCCCCCAGCCCGCCGTGCCCTCCCTTCCCCGGGCTGTGTGCGGGGCCCTGACCCCTCCGGGCAGGGGGGCCGGGCGGGCAGGTCCCGGGGGAGCAGCCGCAGGAACGGGGAGAGAACGCGAAGTTTTGGGCCAGAGAGGAGCGGGGTGTCTGCTGGCATTGGGGTGTCTGCTGGCATTGGGGTGTCTGCTGGCATTGGGGCCGCTGGGCCGGGCGGGGACACGGCCCGGGCCGGGGTTGGGGCGGGGGAGGCGAACAGGGGCTTCGTGCGGGGCCTGCGCTCCCCCGGGCCCTCCCCGGGCTGGTTTGGAGGAAACAGGGAGTGTTTGTGCCACGGGTGGGTAACGACACGCCGTGTCCGCGTCCTGGCCGGCGTGGAGAAGAGAGAGCCGGCAAAGTCGTTTTAAGGAGCAGTTTGCCATCTGGATGCAAATGCCTCCTGCTTCGTTAGTAAGGGTTGTGCGAGTCTTGGAGCACTTGGAGCACTCCCCTCCCACCCGCCGCCTTGAAATTTGGACCTACAAATGATCGGCCCTTGTAAAGAGAGAGCTCTGACCGATGGGTTTCGTTTTCTGTGGTGAGACAACGCTTTTAGCTGCAGTATTTAAGTAGTTTAGGTGGACAATAGTGTATCTGCAGTTATTGAAGCATCAGGATTTTCAAAGAATGTTGATGGACTTTGAGTCCCCCATGGAGTCAGGACATGCTCCTGGACACTACAACTTTTAAGGACACTGGTCACAGGTG